CAACCTTCAAAAAATGAAGCCACTTATCGATATGTCCGCCATGTTTTTGGTGGCAAACAATAGATGTGACACCAGTTTTGTTTTTGTGTGTTTTTTTAAAAAAGTGAATTGAACGCCGATTTTTTTTACTTAACAAAATGGTGAATTGTCCGTATATTCTTTTTATTTCAATTTTAAACCTTAAAAACCAATTTAAATTAGTATTTTAAGGAAAAGTAAGATCTAAATTAGTAAATAAGAATGCTAAATAAGTATAGTTATTTCAGTAATTGTATTATAATTAATAATTTCACTCACACACCATGATGATTTGCCTGTGGCGGTGTGCGTTGAGGGTTAAAATTCCATAAAATATTTCATAAAATGCCATGAATAAGTTAATAAGTAAATAAATTTCGTTAATTTTAATTCCAAAATATTTGTATAAAATAAAATAAATTAAATAAAATATTTCAGGTACACAAATGTTTCATTTTAAATACGAATTAGTAAATCTTAAAAATAAAAAGATACGCCGCTGATCACTTCCTCTGGTGGCAGTTTGGCTTCACTTTTAGCCTTACGGTTACGCGGCCTCTCTCTTTCCTTGTGTAAGGATCACCTAATTAAAATAATTAATTTGACTTAGATGACAGCCATTGCTCACTAATCAAATGGGTAAAAATTGCAATCGTAATAATAATATATAATTGCAACATAAATATTATTTGACTAGACAATGTTTAATAGATAAAACGTCATAGCAACGCCACGTTTCCTACTGACAAAAACTCCTTAATGTACGTGATTTCTCAGCGACAAAATTATGACAGATCCGTCACGAAGGTGTCTGGTAATTCTATTGTTGTCAGTTTCATAAACGTCATTGAGATGTAATCAATTTTGGACATATATAATAAATCCAGACGAAAAATCAATATTTGGATGCCAGTCAGGTGAAGAAATTAAAAAATTGGTTTCGGAAAATATCCCATTGAACCCGCAGAGGTCCGGAAGCTCTATCTGGACCCAATTGTCGGAGTTCCTACGGGTGAGAAATTTTACGGTTGAAAGATGTACTACTGTAACGGAACTGGCAAAAATTCTCGAGGATTATGCCTTTAACATTGAAAAAAGGCAATGGCGAAGACCATAAAGAGTCTTCTGTAAAGTCAATGTGGAATGCTACAGCAAAAATGGTACAAGAAAAATATTTTAAGGAGTATGGAAATAAAAATCGATCCTTTAATAGATATATCTTTCAAATGTGCAAGATTGCCAGAGATACCAAGCGGAGGCAGCTTCAAAGTGTTCAAGAAAAAAAAACTCAGTTCAAAAGCATTATCCACCGAGAACTATTAAAAATCCTCCAAAGCTACGACGAGGAAACTCCGATGGAGCACAAAAAATTGTTTTTCGCCTTTGCTCATTTTAACTTTCTTTGAGAGGCCATGAAGCCGTAAACTGCAAGATTCACTTTTTCCAGAAGGAATTTGATGTTATGAGAGAATTTACGGGCCGAATTGAATACAACAGCATTTTTCCAAAACAAATCAAGGCGGTTCGAAAAGTTTGGCAAGCATCAAATGGCTGGTAAGAAATTCATCAAACGAAAATTTATGCCGTTAGACTTAATTGGGAAATTGAGTGGCAATCCTTTACTAACAGTAGCAAAAATACATACTGCAGTATATATCCAACTCTTCCATCTACTCCTCCAAGTGACAGAAGTCCCATCTCTCGGAAAATTTATACTATGTACGTTAGATGCCTTTTTGGACATGCTACAGTAAATGCTTACTTATATAAAATAAAACTTTCCGAAACTGATATATGTGAATGTAATGGCAGTTATGACGATCTTAACCACTGGATGTTTCAATGTCGGTATAATCAAGAAGCCATAAAATTTTTATTTCAAGCCATCTCCCAAGAAAAAATCATTCTGCCGCAGAACGTTGCTTCTATTCTTTATTTAGGTAGTCGAAATTCAACTATAAGAACAATTTTATGGGAATTTTTCAAACGTACCAAACGGAAAATCTAAACTGCCCTGTTCAGTGTTGTTGTGTGAATCCGAAATGGTAGGACGTTAGTTGTTGTATTTCCCATTGTCTTTCCTTTTATGTCATTTACCTTTAACCGTTGCCTGTATTGTTTGTGTTAAAAAAAAGTCGCTATGAAGGGCACTTTAGCGTGAAGCGTGTGTTCCTGTTCAATCCTTTTTGTATAGTCACACAATAGTGTTTTCAATGGGAAGGTTAGGAAATTGAGTGAATGTGGTGCGAATGAACGAACGGTTAGGAAATTGCCATGAATTTGAAGGAAGTGTAGGAGATTGTTTTTATGTATTCAACCTATATTGTCTGGCTAAATAGGTCTTGTACCTAAGGCAAAAAAAAAATTATGTCCACTTGGATTATTTTTGAAATTAATGGAAAACAGGGGACCAAAGATTTTATCAGACAGACTCTTTCTTACCGTTCACTCCAACTGGAAGGATTTATTTGGTTTAAAAACTATCCACTTGGAATCAACACCGTATCTAAGTGGACAAAAATGTCAGCTGAAAAATATGCAATAGACACAAAAAGACATAAAATAACAAACCATTCTCATCGATCTTCAGCTGTGTTAGCCTGTGTTAAGCAAGGTGTTTCTGAAAAGGTATTAATTAAATTAACGGGTAACTCAAATGCAAGCTCTCTAAAACCATATCTGCAGCTGGATTCCAGTCACCACCAGAAGTTGATCGAAAATCTCAAAACAAAAAATTAAGCCGGACCTTCGAGTTCCCAAATGCTACCGGTCAATAATACACAAAATCATGCTTTAGTAGAAAAGAAACTACTATAGCTTATAATAATTGTACATTTAATATTGTTAACAATTAAATAAAGATTATGTTTCCTTGATATGGTGCATTAATTGTTTAGTGAAATAGTCTTGTCGAATATCATTCGAGAGAAATTTATTTACTGGCACAATTTTCTTCTGGCATATTCAATTTTGTTGCCTTTTGGCAATTTTCGCTTATGAAATTTATGCAAAATTACTCGACTGACGTCTCGTGATTTAACTGTCAAAATTTATATTGTTCTGAAGCTATTTTCTTGTGGCATTGTAAATTAATTACTATTAAACTGGGAATAAGCCACAATTAAAGATAAAAATACGTTTATTGACGTTTCAATTTCCACTTCGGAAATCGTTCTCAAAATACAAACAGTAAATTAAACAAATTTTGTTTTTTGTTACATAGTGAAAAATTCTTCTAATAATTTAATTTTATCTGACTCATTTATATTGACAATTCAGACATACATTATGCATTTTAAAGTAGACGACTTTAAAATGATATTGCCAATATTGTTGAGTTGCGCTCCTGGGACGACTTTACTTATAAGATAGTTCATTCGATTACATGAAATCAACTTTAACTTGAGAATATCCGTCAGAAAAAATCATAGCATGTAATTCGTCTTTAAAAAGACAAACACATGACATGATGACAGTAAAATTCTCCTGTTAGTGATTCCATAGTAAATTATTAGGGAAAACCAGGAAAAAACCTCATAATACTATCCCGACATTGTAAGTATTTGTTCGTGAATTTAGTTTACCTTCAACAAACATCAAAATTCTGATTTTATATGTTACGTTATTTAAAAAACATAAATGATGTATCCTCTATATGTTACTGACTTACTAATACTGGTATTTTCTTATTAATAACTTCCTCTTTCAATATTGGTAACCAGATCCTACTACATTCTGCCGAGGAATTTGCGACACAATTGGCCTCAATTAGCATAATTAGAGCCGCTTCTTTGATTTTTCGTTTTTTACCATCCGTTTCTTTTAGGACTACATTTGAATTATTCCATTGAACCCTATGTTCATTATCCCATGCGTGTTTACAGATTTGAGATCTATCAAATTCTTTATTTTTAATATAAGATTGATGTTCACTTATTCTAACATTTAATGGCCTTGATGATTCACCTAAATAAAACTGATCGCATTCACAAGGAATTTTATAAATGCAATTCTTTGTCCTTTCTTGTTCATTGTTAGGTTTGGTTTTGGACAAAATAGATCTCAACGTGTTTGTTGTTTTGAATGTTGTTGAAATGTTGAATTTATTTCCTATCCTTTTAAGTTTTTCTGATAGTCCTTTTATGTAAGGTATAAAAAAGTAACATATAAAATCAGAATTTTGATGTTTGTTGAAGGTAAACTAAATTCACGAACAAATACTTACAATGTCGGGATAGTATTATGAGGTTTTTTTCCTGGTTTTCCCTCATAATTTACTATGGAATCACTAACAGGAGAATTTTACTGTCATCATGTCATGTGTTTGTCTTTTTAAAGACGAATTACATGCTATGATTTTTTCTGACGGATATTCTCAAGTTAAAGTTGATTTCATGTAATCGAATGAACTATCTTATAAGTAAAGTCGTCCCAGGAGCGCAACTCAACAATATTGGCAATATCATTTTAAAGTCGTCTACTTTACAATGCATAATGTATGTCTGAATTGTCAATATAAATGAGTCAGATAAAATTAAATTATTAGAAGAATTTTTCACTATGTAACAAACAACAAAATTTGTTTAATTTACTGTTTGTATTTTGAGAACGATTTCCGAAGTGGAAATTGAAACGTCAATAAACGTATTTTTATCTTTAATTGTGGCTTATTCCCAGTTTAATAGTAATTAATGTCAAAATTTAATTCATGAAAATTGCCAGGCAACAAACTTTCATACCAGTCGCAAATATTGCCGGCAAAATTTTCTCTCTTATGATATATATATGCGACAATAGCTTAATGGGAAGAGTTGTGATAAAATTAGTGAACAAAGATTATTTACTGCTAATACTGCATAAGATATATCATTTCAATTGAGAAAACGAATAAAAAATGAGTTTATTTTAAAAAGGTCGTGAATAAAATTTTTTTTTACCTACATTAACACTTACGTGCTTACGAAAATGTATTTAATACTTACTAATTGTGCGAATTTCAGTAATCCTGGCCACGATTTTAAATATCCTGTGTTAATTATGATAGCTGACGTCGTTGTCGTAGTTGTAGTTCTAGTAACTGTTACCGTATGAGACATTTTGGACGATTTTCTGAAACAAATAATATCGAATAAAAAAAAACATAAATGGAAAAACTTATTTGTAATCTCTTTGTGGACTGACTACTCCCTAACTTTTTTTTTTGGTTTTATTTGGTATCGATTAATTTATCTAATACAGTGTATTTTTGGTAACCATTTTTCCTTACGCCATTATCCTTTAGTTTACTTCACTTATAAATACTTTTACTTATTTAAAGAGGAGAATTTTGTATATTAGACTACTTCTTTTATGAGCTGGTAATTGGAACAAGTATTCCTTGCAAAGTAAAAAGAACTTTGCCAGTAAAGTTTTTCTAAACAAAATTTCACTAATCTGTTACCGTCTTTTTTTTGGATTCCCAGTCCGAACTAACCAATTATATCTTAAAATTTACCTTTTCTTAATTCAGGATTTATATCTCCCACTTTTATCGTTATATCTCTATGTTTGTTATTATCCAGTGCTTTTTTATATCGTTATATAAGGGTTATTTTTGACCTATACACTTAAATAATATTGAGAGTTCTTCCTGGTATCTGAGCTGATACTATCAGCACCTACTCTATCTGATACAGGAAAAAAACCAGTTACAGCTTGACAAAAGATACTATCAGATATTATTGCCACGCCATTGTAATTATATGCGTTTTTATTTCCACAGTAGTATATGTGGTCCCATCCATTTCGATTTCACCAGATCCAGACCATCTGGTCTTACTCCCATTATATTGACTTTAAGTCGCCGTATCTCATCTACATTGTGAATCTTTCCTGCTTGATATAGAGATTTTGCATTTATACAAAACTATCTATACCATTATTATTGTATAACTACCTGATTAGGGTTTGTCCGAAACGGTCAATACTCATATCATTAACACATTCGCTGCCACTTATTTATTAGTTACCCACTGTTGGTGCCATATACATATTCAGTAATATACATTAGTAGGAAGCCAGTACGAAATTTGAAGAGTGTATATTATTTCATCTCTAATATCTTCAAGGTTAGTTCGAAAATAAAATTTAGACTTCAGTAGGAGAAAAAAATTAAACGCCTAAAGGCGTCAGTGGCACCTGACTACTGTGATAATTCCTATATGCCACCTGACGCCGAAAGGAGTCAAAAATCGTTTGAAAACAATGAACAGAAATAAGACGTTCACAAAAACTAAAACTAAAAAAACTTGATATCTGAACACAAAAAACAAATATTCTTACAACATAAATTCAAGTTGTTACATACGAGCTATTAATGCAACAGTCCAAACAAAAGCCGGAAGCGTTAGGACAGAGTTTTACAGTACATACACTGTTTCTACACGTGATCGCTTCTCAGCACATTTTGCACACCGTTTTTCGCATAAACTCTTCTCCTTTTTCACTCTTTTTTTACGTTTTGCACAATATGTTGTTTTCCAATTGACGGCTCTTCAGTTAGTTCTGAAGTCAGCATATCTCTGGCATACGAAAGTCATTATAGCTGATTCGTTTTCCGGATTATTGCTTGTACAAGATGTGTGCATTTTGACTATCGGCTCTGGTTTCATTTTATGGATTCCTTTTTTTGAAACAGTCTCTTGCATATTAGTTCTAGTTTCGGTCGATATGTAAAAGACGTCCCTTGTAAATATAGTATACTATCTCTGTAATTTGGCTTCGCTTAGTAGTTTTTGTGTAACATATTTTGGATTATTTTTTCTAATAAGTCTTAGAGTGCCAGTATAGTAGATCTTAGCATCCAGAAGATTATTGGCTAATTACAAAGAATTGTAGAAATTGTCAATTGTAAACAGCATATATCCAACATTTAGTTGTTTCCTGTAATAAATGCAATTCTAGATTCCTATTGCCATTCCTTCTGCATATTCGTTGCATATGGATATTGCATATTCGTCGGATTAATATTTCCCTCGTAAGAATTCATCAGTCAGTACCAGTCTAAAATAGTCTAAGGTTTTATCACTAGTAAAAGGCACTAGTAAATCTTGATTTTTGTAAAGGCAATGTTTTTGATAGTTGTTGGGTTATCTCCCCATTCAGAATTTGCTATTTTCTTTTTAAGTGGATATAATCCATATTTGTTAGTAGGGGAAATACATATTAATACTGTCTACTTAGCAATAAACTAAAAAGCTATAAAGTGTATTTATAGGAAAAATATTGGAATAGGAAATGAAAGAATTTCAGATAAAAAACCCGAGTCAAAAATGTATGAATTGAACCTTTATATAGGTGCCGGCAAAAACAAGAAGGAATTATGCATAGAGTTGACTGGCAAAAGAACCTATTTATTTCCACAATTTGTAAACGCCAGAAGGCGACAGTGGAACCTCACTGAAGTCAGGCCAAACACTGAATTTTGAATAGAAATGTTTTTTAGCACTTTTTCCGCAGAATGAACCGTTCTCTCAGAAACAACGCTTGAAGCGATTTGAAATGTCTTTTACGTGCGTTGAAATCAATTTTTAAATAAAATTTGTATTAACTCGACGGTAAAAATTCTATATCTTTTGATTAAAGCGTCCTATCGACAAAAATCAAAATGTGTTTTAAAGTTGAAGAGCGCAGTTTTACATAATTTTGGTACTTTGCCTAATGAAGTCAGTTTCTGTAAAGCTGTTATAGAAGCTGTTATAGAAGTGTTATATAGCTGTTGCGCGTTTTTTGCCATTTTTTACATTTCTCATAAGATCAATAAAATGTATTTTCACTGACCGATCACTAAGGAATTTTCATTGTTAGAGTCTAATCTGCAAAACCTATAGCATGAAAGATTAATTTTAAGTATTGACAACAAACATGAGGCATTTGAAATATGCCTAAAACTTTGAATTATAAACGTTCACTTCTAATGTGTGACTTGTAATAACTACCTGAGATTTTTGTTGTATAACATTACCTTTCACATTATAAATGACCTAAAACATTGAAAACTCCTTTTGTTCGACAACAGAAGTACATTTTTCAAAACTACACAACTTTAGCTACAAACTCAACCTAATGCGATCTTCGTGGAAGCATTTCGTGTGACGTGAAATCGCTTGTAATGTGAAAGTTTAAATTCAGCGTTATTTAGGAATGATTCAAGCCTCATATTTACTGCCAAAACTTAAAATCAAAATTTCATGTTATGGGTTTTGAAGATTGGGCTCTAAAAATGGAAACTCTGCAGCGACAGGTTAATGGAATTGTTAAATTTTATTGATCTTTTGTCGATAGAACAATCTGATCAAAAGATATCAAGTTTTTACTGTCGAATTGATACAAATGTTATTAAAAAAAATTATTTCGCGCGCGAAACTGACACTTAAAATTGCATGTCGCTTCAAGCGTTGTTTCTGAGAGAAAGGTACATATTACAGAAACATTGCTAATAGACACTTTTCTTCAAAATTATCTCAGCTATATTTCCGTTTGAAACATTTCTTTACGGTGTACAGATTCTTGATAAATCGATGTGTTCCGGTCCTCCTTAGAAAAAGGTTTTAGTGGGAAGTCCGGAGTAGGAGTGGCAAACTTTTTTGCATCTTTTGTGGGGTCCCAAAATTGACATTCTTAACATTCTTGACATTCATTTTTAGAGGTCAAATCTCTGGCGTTTGGACTATTAATCAAATTTATTATTTGTGGAATTGGATGGGTCAGGTACTTTGTTTAATGTAAATTTTTACAATTTTTACATCAGAAAAGCAGTAAATTGAAGAAAAGATTGGAATAAAAAACAATTCGGTTCGAGACCGATTTTTTTCCTACTGTCTTTGATTATATATTTTTTTTCAACGTACTTTGTTAATTATTAAAAGTTAAAAGTCATTAAAAAGCAATAATAATTTATCAGTAATTGTATTCTCATTGCAAATAAAATACTTATAACAAATTGTCGGACAAGACTTGAAAATAATGTTCAGAATATTATATACACTACTGCCCAAAATTAACGCACCACCTTAAATATACCATAAGTTTGAAGCTATTTTGCTTCTAAACGAATCATTCGATTTTAATGATGTTTTTTTCATATTATAGGTCTATTTCTAGTAAATCAATATATTAATGTTTACTAAAAAATATCAACGTTTTATCTGTATACGGGGTGTAAAAATAACGTTGTTTTTTTCATCGTTTTTTGCAACACCCTCTGGCATTTATCAAAAATAGATCTACATCTTATTAATATTTTAAGAGAGATTTAGTCTTTCTCAAGATTTTTGTGAAACAATTATCTCCATATCTCTATTATCAAAGATTATACAGAACTTTAAATGTAACAACTTTTTATTAGCATTTAGAGCAAAGAAAACAATACTTATATAATTTTGTTGACATTTAATACAAATAAAGCCTAAGAAAATGTAACCTAAATAATCTTTAACAATTTCCTTTTCCCAAAAACACTTATTAAAGCGTATTTCCACCTCGACATTAATTCTTCGCAGCGACGTAAGCGTATTTGGTCTTAATTAATTGCATCCCAAACTTCTCTCACCATAACTTCTACGTCATCAAGAGAGATACGTTATGGTTGTCCTCTCTTCGGTTGACTATCAATAATGTCCCACGGTGGCCAGTTCATGGTTTGTATTCCAACAAACCTATGTAAGTTTGTATTTCCTATGTAAGAAGCAAATGGAACTACATGGTTAGACAAAATGTCTGTAATATACCTTTCACTTGTTAATGAACCTCTTTGTAAAACAACCAGGTTCGTTTACGCTGTAACTATTGTTTGAAATGTAAACAATATTGACAGTCTAAAACTGTCCTGTCAAATTGTTTGATTTTTTATTGCCAACTAACTGCTTCCATTAATTACTATTACAATTCGATAAAACCACGTTATGCTTTGAACGTACTTTTCTTTTTTGATAATGAAGATATCGATGATCTTTTTACGAAAATGTTGAAAAAAAATTAAGTCTTTTCGAAATATTTATAAGATGTATCGTTTGTTTTAAATAAATTCCACAGGCTGTTGCAAAATAAGATGAAAAATCAAATTTATTTTT